CGACATAACCTGAAAGTCCGCTCAGCAAGGAAGAAGGCACTGCTCCAAAACCGCCATAAAAAAGCCAGACTACGGTTTGCAATTGCACATGGGGACAAAGATTGTACTTTTTGGAGAAATGTCCTCTGGTCTGATGAAACAAAAATATAACTGTTTGGCCATAATGACCATCGTTATGTTTGGAGGAAAAAGGGGGTAGACTTGCAAGCCAAAGAACATCATCCCAACTGTGAAGCACATGGGTGGTAGCATCATGCTGTGGGGGTGCTTTGCTGCAGGAGGGACTGGTGCACTTCACAAAATAGATAGCATCATGAGGAAGGAAAATTATGTGGATATATTGAAGCAACATCTCAAGACATCAGTCAGGAAGTTAAAGCTTGGTCGCAAATGGGTCTTCCAAATGGACAATGACCCCAAGCATACTTCCAAAGTTGTGGCAAAATGGCTTAAGGACAACTAAGTCAAGGTATTGGAGTGGCCATCACAAAGCCCTGACCTCAATCCTATAGAAAATGTGTGGGCAGAACTGAAAAAGCGTGTGTGAGCAAGGAGGCCTACAAACCTGACTCAGTTACACAAGCTCTGTCAGGAGGAATGGGCCAAAATTCACCCAACTTATTGTGGGAAGCTTGTGGAAGGCTACCTGAAACATTTGACCCAAGTTAAACAATTTAAAGGCATTGCTACCAAATACTCATTGAGTGTATGTAAACTTCTGACCCACTGTGAATGTGATGAAAGAAATAAAAGCTTAAATAAAGAATTTTCTACTAATATTCTGACATTTCACATACTTAAAATAAAGTGCTGATCCTAGCTGACCTAAGACAGGGAATTTTTTATTAGGATTAAACGTCAGGAATAGTGAAAAACTGAGTTTAAATGTATTTGGCTAAGGTGTATGTAAACTTCCGACTTCAACTGTATCGCTCTCCCTTTCCCTTCTACATGCTCAATACAATCTCTCTCTCTCTCCCTCTCTCTCTCTCTCTCTCTCTCTCTCTCCTCTCTCTCTCTCTCTCTCTCTTTCTGTATGTCTGTCTGTTAAATGAAACATGTCTGATACTTGTCTGAAATATTGCAATTTCATAATCTCTTCTTGTAAAACGTCTACCCTCCCCAGAGAATTCCCTTCTGTTCTCTTAGTGTTGCCTGCTTCTCTGTACTTTACCCAAATTCCTTTTTCTCTGTTGGCCACTCAGGGGAGATGGGACAGCTACACCTGGAACCACACTTCCATTCTTCCCTGCCTGGGAATTCTTCACTTTCACCACCTGTCCAAGGACAGTAGGGGGGAGGGTGTTCCCTCTCCCCCTCTCCTCCACTCTCCTCACCCTGCAATTTGTGCCACAGTCTCACCACCAGGCCAGCCAAAGAAAGACTTGTCCAGACCTGCACCAACCAGAGAGAGCAGAGGAACATGTCCTGATTTCTACAAGTATTACATGACATGTTCCTGGATTGTCTTTAGGGTCCATCAACCAATAGACTGCTTTGTGACATCCTCAACATTTGCACAATTTGCTGTGATAGTCATGACAATCCAGGACCGGCACAGTGCACAAGACGATCCAGGACCGGCACAGTGACAAGACGATCCAGGACCGGCACAGTGCACAAGACGATCCAGGACCGGCACAGTGCACAAGACGATCCAGGACCGGCACAGTGCACAAGACGATCCAGGACCGGCACAGTGACAAGACGATCCAGGACCGGCACAGTGCACAAGACGATCCAGGACCGGCACAGTGCACAAGACGATCCAGGACCGGCACAGTGACAAGACGATCCAGGACCGGCACAGTGCACAAGACGATCCAGGACCGGCACAGTGCACAAGACGATCCAGGACCGACACAGTGCACAAGACGATCCAGGACCGGCACAGTGCACAAGACGATCCAGGACCGAAACAGTGCACAGGAAGAACCATGACCAACACAGTGCAGTGAGTGCACAAGACAATCCAGGATCGATCCAGTGCACATATCGTCTTCTAATCAATCATTCTTTTAATATTGCTTTTGTGCAAAAGTGTGTGCATTCTATTGCTGTCATCTACTCTCCTAACCTCTCAACTGTTTCATGTGAAGGTTAGCCGACTTGTACTTCACCTTCGAATGCTGGTGTAGAAAATGTGGCCAGACATTGTAGTACATGTCACCTAGAGCAAGCACAACAACAGCCATAGAGCTAGGTCACTGTCACGCCCTGGCTCTGGGGACTCTTGTATGTTGAGCCAGGGTGTTAGTTTCTTTGTGTAGTGTCTATGTTTCGTTTTCTATGTTCTGTTCTAGGTTATGTGGTTCTATGTTGGCCGGGGTGGTTCTCAATCAGAGGCAACGAGAATCAGCTGTTGCTTGTTGTCTCTGATTGGGAACCATACTTAGGCAGCCTGTTGTGCACTTGTGTTTTGTGGGATCTTGTTCCGTGTTGGTTTGTGTTCATGACCGAGGACTTCACGTTTCGTTTTGTTGTTTTGTATTTTGTATCGTGTTGCTAGTACACTATTAAAGAGATGTACGCATATCACACTGCGCCTTGGTCCAATCATTATGACGATCGTGACAGTCACAGAGGATTCAGAGGATCTTACAGACATGGATGTGTGTGTTACTAGCACCCTCTTCTGGTTTCCTGGAGGAAAAACCGACACACAAATTGTGCATACTGTCAAACTCAACTCAACAAATCTCCATCCTATTCTCTCTCTCTCTCGACTATATGTTGGCATACTGTTTGAGAAAAGATAAGTGGACCAATGACATAACTCTTCCCTTTTGTTTATTCACATTCAACATTGAAAATGCCATTTCTCATATACAAATAAACTTTATATGTCACTTGCTGCAGATCAATATGAAACATAAAATATAATTATTTTTTCAAATATGAGATAGTAAAGGTATTATGAGGTACAGACTGTAGATAATATAACTAGTACATCATGAGCAAAATGAAAAAAATACAACTAAAATGTACATAAACTATGAATGTATAGTATATCAACAAAGTGTATTGGAATTAGGTGGTCCCTGCCCTGATTATTTGACATAAAGAAAATTAATCTAGACAAAAAGGTGATTAAAAAGCTGCACTTAATTGAGCTCGCTTGATGCATTGGGTGGGCAATGTTGACACTTTTGTACTTTTCCATCGAGCTCAATCAAGTCCCAATGATCACCTATTGTTCCAACACAATAATTTTTTCAGAATTCCAAATGAAATGTATAATACAAATGTCCTCTAATATACACTGAGTATACAAAACATTAAGAACACCATGGACATTGACTGACCAGGTGAATCCAGGTGAAAGCTGATGTCACTTGTTAAATCGACTTCAATCAGAGTAGATGAAGGGGAGGAGACAGGTTAAATAAGTATTTTTAAGCCTTGAGACAATTGAGACATTGATTGTGTATGTGTGCCATTCGGAGGTTGAATGGGCAAGACAAAATATTTAAGTGCCTTTGAACGGGATATGGTAGTATGTGCCAGGCGCACTGGTTTGTGTCAAGAACTGCAACACTGCTGGGTTTTTCACGCTCAACAGTTTCCTGTGTGTATCAAGAATGGTCCACTACCCAAAGGACATCCAGCCATCTTGTCACAACTGTTGGAAGCATTGGAGTCAGCATGGGCCAGAATCCCTGTGGAAAGCTTTCGAAACCTTGTAGAGTCCGTGCCCTGACAAATTGAGGCTGTTCTGGGGGCAAAAGGGGGTGCAACTCAATATTAGGAAGGTGTTCCTACTGTTTGGTATACTCAGTGTACTGTATATATTTTAACACTGAGACATTTCAATATATAGTTAGTGGCAATAATATACCACCAAAAAGTCAATTTAAAACACTTATTTGAGACAGTAATTTATCCATTTTAAAACATTCTTCCAGACAAAGTAGTACTGAACAAAGTCGTAAATGAATTCAAAGTACACGTAATTAACAAATTATATAAGGAAATCATAGAATATATTAGGGTTTACATATATAATATTTTTCTGTGGTCTGATTCATTCCAACACTCCCCTTCCAGATCTTTGCATTTGTATGTGTTATTGTTTTGATAGTTGTTTTAATTCACATACATTTCAAGAGTTGAGCAATATCAAAATTCAAGAGAAATGATTGGGATGGTGAAACATCAGTTCAGGGAAAACATTTCAATTTTTTTGTTAGAACATGAAGTCAATAGATATTACTTTTCAAATAGTATATGATGCATTTACAAAAATAAAGTTTTTGATAACATAAGGAGAAGTTATGATTTACAGTATTTTTCATTACCGTTTTTAATAGCTTGAATAATGCTTTATATAGTTTATTTATTTTTGGTTAAATATTAGACATGACAAACCCTTACATGCCAGGCTTCTATGCTTCCCTATAGTATAGTATCACACCATACGGAGCATGTTGAGAATAGGAAAATGTAACTAGCTTGTAAGAGCTGGGATACATAAAACTGTAAACCCTTTCGAGCCAGAAATGCAAACATCTGTGTTAGTTCTACAACAATAAATGAAAATGAAATACACATCTTATAACATAGCTGTTGTATATTCTCTTTTTCCCTCCGGACACACCCCTAATAATCATCATAAGAAAAGAGTCTGTTAGAAAATGAAGTCAAAGGAGTTTTGAGTTTTAATTCGACTCAATGAAAGATCTCATCGAGTCTCCTGTCCTGCTGATGGTCCACAGTTCCCTCTGTGTTGTAAGCAGGAGATGACTTGGATAGGTTGTGGAGTTGTAACTTGTAAGTCTTTTCATGCTTGTTATCAATTGTATCCCATTCTTACGTGGTGTTACCATAGAAATAGAATCTCACAAAACCCATTCTAGTTCTGTGGGTGGAACTCTGTTCCACTGCTTGCCTGTCCACTGCCTTCCTGTCCAAGTCCTGGCTCATAACCTTCAGGTTGAGGGTTGTAAGGTTTTCAGTTTAGAAACAGCCCCACTAGCCAATTAGCTAGCAGCGTGGCAGGGCTACTTGGTCTCCTGGGAGCCAATCATCACCTTGGAGACAAAGTTGACGATGGCGCTGGCGGGCTGCTCGGGGTCGTGCTCGGCGAACAGGTGGCACACGTTATCCTGCCCACTGCCCGTCTTCCTCGCCACAAAGCCAAAGATCTTTGCTGAAGTGCAGCCATCTTTTTTCCACCTAAGAATGGATGGGGAAAGGAACACAGAAAGAACATACAAGGCATCATACAGACGGTATAAGCTGATGATATTAGCACCACAGCACTCTTATTTCACATTATGTTAATTATTCTACTCACTTCCGATTTTGAGGGTCCAATGCACAGAAGATGACAGTGGTCACTGCATAATGCCTTCTGAAGAACAACCTGGGAAGAAGAGAGGGAGGAGGGGAAAAGAGAAATACATAGTATAACTGTGTATAAAGCATTGTGCCTTGGGAAAGTATTCAGACCCCTTGACTTTTTCGTTTTGTTACGTTACAGCCTTATTCTAAAATTGATTAAATGGTTTTTTCCCTTCATCAATCTACACACAATACCCCATAATGACAAAGCAAAAACAGGTTTTTAGAAATGTTTGCTAATTTATAACAAATAAAAAACAGAAATTTTACATCTACATAAGTATTCAGACCCTTTACTCAGTACTTTCTTGAAGCACCTTTGGCAGCGATTACAGCCTTGAGTCTTCTTGGGTATGACGCTACAAGCTTGGCGCACCTGTATTTGGGGAGTTTCTCCCATTCTTCCCTGCAGATCCTCTCAAGCTCTGTCAGGTGTGATGGGGAGTGTCTCTCCTGAGATGTTCGATCGGGTTCAAGTCCGGGCTCTGGCTGGGCCACTCAAGGACATTCAGAGACTTGTCCCGAAGCCATTCCTGCGTTGTCTTGGCTGTGTGCTTAGGGTCGTTGTCCTGTTGAGGACCTGAGCGCTCTGGAGCAGGTTTTCATCAAGGATCTCTCTGTATATTGGTTCCTTGACTGCCCTTGACCAGCACAAAAACATCCTGTGGCGTACTGCATTAGCATCGAACAGCCCCCGCGATATGCAACTTTTTAGGGAAGTCAGGAACCAATATACACAATCAGTTAGGAAAGCAAAGGTTAGCTTTTTCAAACAGAAATTTGCAACCTGTAGCACTAACTCCAAAACGTTTTGGGACACTGTAAAGTCCATGGAAAATAAGAGCACCTCCTCCCAACTGCCCACTGCACTGAGGCTAGGAAACACTGTCACCACCGATAAATCTACAATAATCGAGAATTTCAACAAGCATTTTGCTACGGCTGGCCATGCTTTCCACCTGGTACCACTACCCCGGCCACCAGCTCGGCACCCTCCGCTGCAACTTGCCCATGCCCCCCGCTTCTCCTTCACACAAATTCAGACAGCTACTGTTCAGAAAGAGCTGAAAAATGTGGACCCCTACAAATCAGCTGGGCTAGACAATCTGGACCCTTTCTTTCTAAAATTAGCCGCCGAAATTGTCGCAACCCCTATTACTAGCCTGTTCAACCTCTCTTTCGTAACGTCTGAGATCCCCAGAGATTGGAAAGCTGCCGTGGTCATCCCCCTCTTCAAAGGGGGTGACACTCTAGATCCAAACTGTTATAGACCTATATCCATCCTGCCCTGCCTTTCGAAAGTTTTTGAAAGCCAAGTTAACAAACAGATCACCGACCATTTCGAATCCCACCGTACCTTCTCCGCTATGCAATCCGGTTTCCGAGCTGGTCATGGGTGCACCTCAGCCACGCTCAAGGTCCTAAACGATATTATAAACGCGATCGATAAAAGACAGTACTGCGCAGCCGTCTTCATCGACCTGGCCAAGGCTTTCGACTCTGTCAACCACCGCATTCTTATTGGCAGACTAAATAGCCTTGGTTTCTCTAATGACTGCCTTGCCTGGTTCACCAACTACTTCTCAGATAGAATTCAATGTGTCAAATCAGAGGGCCTGTTGTCTGGACCTCTGGCCATCTCTCTATGGGGGTGCCACAGGGTTCAATACTCGGGCCGACTCTATTCTCTGTGTATATCAATGATGTCGCTCTTGCTGCTGGTGACGCTCGGATCCACCTCTATGCGGCCGACACCATTTTGTATACATCTGGCCCTTCATTGGACACTATGTTAACAAACCTCCAAACAAGATTCTACGCCATACAACACTCCTTCCGTAGCCTCCAACTGCTCTTAAACACTAGTAAAACTAAATTCATGCCCGTTTGGAGGTTTTTTAACACCAGCTTCAACCGAACGCTGCTTGCACCCGCCCACCCGACTAGAATCACTACTCTCGGCGGGTCTGACCTAGAGTATGTGGACAACTACAAATGCCTAGGTGTCTGGTTAGACTGTAAACTCTCCTTCCAGACTCACATTAAGCATCTCCAATCAAAAGTTAGATCTAGAATCGGCTTCCTATTTCGCAACAAAGCCTCCTTCACTCATGCTGCCAAACATGCCCTTGTAAAACTGACTATCCTACCGATCCTTGACTTCGGTGATGTCATTTACAAAATAGCCTCCAACACTCTACTCAGCAAATTGGATGTAGTCTATCACAGTGCCATCCGTTTTGTCACCAAAGCCCCATATACTACCCACCATTGTGACCTGTACACTCTTGTTGGCTGGCCCTCACTACATATTCGTCGCCAAACCCACTGGTTCCAGGTCATCTATAAATCACTGCTAGGCAAATCCCAGTCTTATCTTAGCTCACTGGTCACCATAGCAACACCCACCCGTAGTCTGCGCTCCAGCAGGTATATCTCACTGGTCATCCCCAAAGCGGGCTGTCATGTGCCTTTTACTGAGGAGTGGCTTCCGTCTGGCCACTCTACCCTAAAGGCCTGATTGGTGGAGTGCTGCAGAGATGGTTGTCCTTTTGGAAGGTTCTCCCATCTCCAAAGAGGAACTCTACAGCTCTGTCAGAGTTACCATTGGGTTCTTGGTCACCTCCCTGACCAAGGCCCTTCTCCCCCGATTGCTCAGTTTGGCCGGGCGGCCAGCTCTAGGAAGAGTCTTGGTGGTTCTGAGGACCTTCCATGTTGCAGAAATCTGTGCCTCGACACAATGCTGTCTCTAAGCTCTACGGACAATTCCTTCGACCTCATGGCTTGGTTTTTGCTCTGACATGCACTGTCAACTTTTGTGCTCTTGTAGGAAGCAATCACTCCCCTATTGCTGACTACAAATGATCGGTAGTGCGAGCGTGGATTTGATCTAGGCTCACTAAAATAATTATAAAATGAGTGTCCCAGCATTTATCGACATAACCGAAGAGGACCAGGTACGATTGAAGTGTTTTAGCAGTAGTTTTATTTTATGAGCACACTCATGTCGAGTGGGCCACGCTGTGGTCAGGAGAGGTTGTGTTTTCTCTAGCAGGAGGTAAGCTTGAGGTAAGCTTGGCTTCTTATATGGTGTTGAGTAAAGCTTAAACCATGCATTTGATCGTAGGTAGGTAGTTGTAGTTAGGTATTGTAGGTAGTTTATTTAGGTAGTTATTGTAGGTTTCCGTAGGTAATTATTGTAGGTAAGTATTGTTTACGGCGGAGCCCGGAGAAAGCACGAGGCTAGCTAGCTAGCGGGTAGCTACTGGTAACGTTTAACAACGGTGAAGAGTTGTTTCCAATGTTAATGTGCTAGCTAGCCAACGTTTAATTTTTGCTGCGTTATGAAAGGAACTAGACACGGACACGAATTATCTGTTTAGTGTGTTAACACACTATTGGTAGTTTGTTGTAACCAAGTATTGGTGCTAAACTGTGTGTTATTGGATGCTAGCATGCTAGTTAGCTATGGCGTCATAGTTAGGCATCGTGGGCTGTTGTGGGTAGTTACTGTAGGTTAGCATTGTTTTTCGGCGGTGCCGGGTCTAGCACGAAGCTAGCTAGCTAGCCGTTCTTCAAACAAAGTCAACACAGTGGCCATTGCTAGCTAGCCAACACGACCAGCTAACTGTACTGTAGTAGCTAAATACAATATACTTATGCTAGCTAGCCAACGTTTAATTATTGCTGCGTTATGAAAGGAACTAGACACGGACACGAGTGATCTGTTTAGTGTGTTAACACACTATTGGTAGTCTGTTGTAACCAAGTATTGGTGCTAAACTGTGTGTTATTGGATGCTAGCATGCTTGTTAGCTATGGTGTCATAGTTAGGCATCGTGGGCTGTTGTGGGTAGTTACTGTAGGTTGGCATTGTCTTCGGTGTAGCACGAAGCTAGCTAGCTAGCCGTTTTTCGAACAGAGTCAACACAGTAGCCATTGTGTGCTGTACTGTGGCAGCTAAATACAATATATTTGTGCTAAGCTAGCCAACGTTTAATTATTGCTGCGTTATGAAAGGAACTAGACACGGACACGAATTATCTGCTTAGTGTGTTAACACACTATTGGTGGTTTGTTGTGACCAAGTGTTGGTGCTAAACTGTGTGTTATTGGATGCTAGCATGCTAGTTAGCTATGGTGTCATAGTTAGCTAGCTGAATAAAGTGGGTTGAGTCTACTCCTTTAAACATTGAACCGCTGTGGTTCACAACAATTCTGATTTCTAAAGGTGGAAGTTGGGAGAGTTTTTGTTCGGGTGGTTCAGTGAAACAATTATAGTTTCTGAGGTGGAAGTTTTGGTGAGGGAGGCCCTGCTCTCTCTTCTTCCAGATGTTTAGTTCATTTCATTCCGATCTCCTCTGCATTATTGTAGCCATTTGCTACAGCCTGTCAACTATGCCTCTGCCTATCCCTGTTCTCTCCTCTCTGCACAGGCTACACAAACGCCTCACACCGCGTGGCTGCTGCCTCTCTAACCTGGTGGTCCCTGCACACACCCCACACCTGGAGTTCCAGGTCTCAGGCAGCCTCTGGAACTGCCGTTCTGCTGCCAACAAAGCTGACTTCATCCCAGCCTATGCTAACCTCCAGTCCCTCGACTTCCTGGCGCTGACGGAAACATGGATTACCACTGAAAACACTGCTACTCCTACTGCTCTCTCCTCGTCTGACCATGTGTTCTCGCATACCCCGAGAGCATCTGGTCAGAGGGGTGGTGGCACAGGAATCCTCATCTCTCCCAAGTGGACATTCTCAATTTTTCCCCTAACCCACCTGTCTATCTCCTCATTTGAATTCCATGCTGTCACAGTCACTAGCCCATTTAAGCTTAATATCCTTGTCATCTATCGCCCTCCAGGTTCCCTTGGAGAGTTCATCAATGAGCTTGACGCCTTGATAAGTTCCTTTCCTGAGGATGGCTCACCCCTCACAGTTTTGGGGGATTTCAACCTCCCTATGTCCACATTTGACTCATTTCTCTCTGCCTCCTTCTTTCCACTCCTCTCCTCTTTTGACCTCACCCTCTCACCGTCCCCCCCTACTCACAAGGCAGGCAATACGCTTGACCTCATCTTTACTAGATGCTGCTCTTCTACTAATCTCACTGCAACTCCCCTCCATGTCTCCGACCACTACTTTGTTTCCTTTTCTCTCTCGCTCTCCTCCAACACTACTCACTCTGCCCCTACACAGATGGTAATGCGCCGCCGCAACCTTCGCTCTCTCTCTCCCACTACTCTCTCCTCTTCCATCCTATCATCTCTTCCCTCTGCTCAATCCTTCTCCCTCCAATCTCCTGATTCTGCCTCCTCAACCCTCCTCTCCTCCCTTTCTGCATCCTTTGACTCTCTGTGTCCCCTATCCTCCCGGCCGGCTCGGTCCTCCCCTCCAGCTCCGTGGCTTGATGACTCATTGCGAGCTCACTGAACAGAGCTCCGGGCAGCGGAGCGGAAATGGAAGAAAACTAAACTCCCTGCCGACCTGGCATCTTTTCACTCCCTCCTCTCTACATTTTCTTCATCTGTTTCTGCTGCTAAGGCCACTTTCTACCACTCTAAATTCCAAGCATCTGCCTCTAACCCTAGGAAGCTCTTTGCCACATTTTCCTCCCTCCTGAATCCTCCCCCCCTCCCCCCCCCCCCCCCCTCTCTCTCTGTGGATGACTTCGTCAACCACTTTGAAAAGAAGGTTGACGACATCCGATCCTCGTTTGTTAAGTCTAATGACACTGCTGGTCCTACTCACACTGCCCTACCCTATGCTTTGACTTCTTTCTCCCCTCTCTCTCCTAGATAAAATCCTGCAACTTGTGACTGCAGGCCGCCCAACAACCTGCCCGCTTGACCCCATCCCCTCCTCTCTTCTCCAGACCATCTCCGGTGACCTTCTCCCCTACCTCACCTCGCTGATCAACTCATCCTTGACCGCTGGCCATGTCCCTTCCGTCTTCAAGAGAGCGAGAGTTGCTCCCCTTCTCAAAAAACCAACACTCGATCCCACTGATGTCAACAACTACAGAGCAGTATCCCTTCTTTCTTTTCTTTCCAAAACTATTGAGCGTGCCGTCTTTAGCCAACTCTCTTGATATCTCTCTCAGAATGACCTTCTTGATCCAAACCAGTCAGGTTTCAGGACTGGTCATTCAACTGAGACTGCTCTTCTCTGTGTCACGGAGGCTCTCCGCACTGCTAAAGCTAACTCTCTCTCCTCTGCTCTTGTCCTTCTAGACCTGTCTGCTGCCTTTGATACTGTGAACCATCAGATCCTCCTCTCCACCCTCTCCGAGCTGGGCATCTCCGGCGCGGCTCACTCCTGGATTGCGTCCTACCTGACCGGTCGCTCCTACCAAGTGGCGTGGCGAGAAGCTGTCTCCGCACCACGTGCTCTCACCACTGGTATCCCCCAGGGCTCAGTTCTAGGCCCTCTCCTTTTCTCCCTATACACCAAGTCACTTGGCTCTGTCATATCCTCACATGGCCTCTCCTATCATTGCTACGCTGACGATACACAACTAATCTTCTCCCCCCCCCTGATAACCAGGTGGCGAATCGCATCTCTGCATGTCTGGCAGACATATCAGTATGGATGACGGATCACCACCTCAAGCTGAACCCTGGCAAGACGGAGCTGCTCTTCCTCCCGGGGAAGGACTGCCCGTTCCATGATCTCGCCATCACGGTTGACAACTCCGTTGTGTCCTCCTCCCAGAGTGCGAAGAGCCTTGGCGTGACCCTGGACAACACCCTGTCGTTCTCCGCTAACATCAAGGCGGTGACCCGCTCCTACAGGTTCATGCTCTGCAACATTCGGAGAGTACGACCCTGCCTTACACAGGAAGCGGCACAGGTCCTAATCCAGGCAATTGTCATCTCCCGTCTGGATTACTACAACTCGCTGTTGGCTGGCCTCCCTGCCTGTGCCATTAAACCCCTACAACTCATCCAGAACGCCGCAGCCCGTCTGGTGTTCAACCTTCCCAAGTTCTCTCACGTCACCCCCCTCCTCCGCACACTCCACTGGCTTCCAGTTGAAGCTCGCATCCGTTACAAGACCATGGTGCTTGCCTATGGAGCAGTGAGGGGAACGGCACCTCTGTACCTTCGGGCTCTGATCAGTCCCTACACCCAAACGAGGGCATTGCGTTCATCCACCTCTGGCCTGCTGGCTCCCCTTCCTCTGCGGAAGCATAGTTCCCGCTCAGCCCAGTCAAAACTGTTCGCTGCTCTGGCACCCCAATGGTGGAACAAGCTCCCTCACGACGCCAGGACAGCGGAGTCACTCACCACCTTCCGGAGACATTTGAAACCCCACCTCTTTAAGGAATACCTGGGATAGGATAAAGTAATCATTCTACCCCCCCCCCCCCCCCCCCATAAAAACTTTCCAAATCATGTCCAATCAATTGAAATTACCACAGATGGACTCCAATCAAGTTGTAGAAACATCTCAAGGATGATCAATGGATACAGGATGTACCTGAGCTAAATTTCGAATCTCATAGCAAAGGGTCTGAATACTTATGTAAATAAGTTATTTATGTTTTTAATTTTTTATAAATTTGCAAACAGCTTTAAAAACCTGTTTTCGCTTTGTCAATATGGGGTATTGTGTGAAGATTGCTGAGGAAAAAATATAAAAATACGAATAAGGCTGAAACGTAGCAAAATGTGGAAAAATTCAAGGGGTCTGAATACTCTCCGAAGGCACTGTATATATATCATTTTATATTAGCTATACATGCATTACTAATATAGGTGTCTCTGTCTGTCTGTCTGTTTGTCTGTGTATTCTCCATGACTCACTTCCTCTGGTTGTCGGTGAGGGTGATTCCCTGTGAGGAGACTTTCAAGTGGACCACGGTGGAGGTGGGCAGGGGGTCTGAGCCCAGTGTTACACTGGTGGCCTTCTGCACAGCCTGGTACCCCGTCAGAGACTCCATCTCCACTGAGCCCAGGAACCACACATTACACGCTGCGGAGAAACACACGTTACAAACGGATACAAACACACACTAAACACACACTACACAATGAACACACACTGGAACCACACATTACACACTGCAAGACCACAGAAGAGAGGAGCTACTATTACTGTCTGCACAACATGTTATCTACACAATCACTTAGGAACAGAGGTTGTGGTTGTTGAGGCTTACCCAATACTTATTTAGCCTTTAATTTACTCCCCATTGATTAGCCTAATAGTCATACACCTGTATAATCATGTGCTTAATTAATCATGTGCTTAAATATGTGGTTAGTAAAGGGATTTAAATGGGATACTTTGGGATTTTGGCAATGAGGCCCTTTGTCTACTTCCTCAGAGTCAGATGAACTCGTGGACTCTGGGGAAATAGATAAAAGACCTCATTGCCAAAATCCCGAAGTATCCCTTTAAGCCCTACCTGCTCCTTGTTTAAGGAGCTCAGCAGCAGAGTTGGTGACAGATTGTGTAGTAGTATTTTCCACCATGTCTTCAAGAGGATCTACCAACATAGGAAAAAAATATGTTTTTGTATACGATGTAAAAGCAAGATGTTTGAAATGAAGAATGAGGCAGTGGCATATCACTGAATTAAAATAAATCTGATTACACTCTGCCGCCATTTTTTTTTTCTCCCTTCCTCTCTCTATTGACCCTCTGCCACTGATGACATTGGTTTATGGCTACCACGTAAAGGCAATTAGCCTACGTTGACAAGAGTCGCATGCACAGGCTTATAAATTGCATCATATCATTCTAAACTGCACTGCAATTTCCAGTCCTCCCGCATATAGTTACACAGAGAGGAGAGAGACTAGAGTTCATTAAATTGCTTTGGCAGAGGACACAATTATGTTTTATAAAACTAAACCCTGTTTACCTTGTTACTGTAACACAATGTTATGTGTAAGGACATTGAGATTTGACATCTTACCTCTGTCAGGTATGATGAGTTTGCAGGGCAGGGCCAAGGGAGTTATGGAGTGCTGACACACCAACGCAGTTAAACTACCTGTAAAACAAAAACATAACAATGGTAACCAACATATTACTTTAAAGAGGATTTCATATTAGCTATGAACATCATCATAAGAGCTGAAGCACACTTTCAATCATTATCCAGTAGAGGGCACACAGGAACGTTATGCTTTTATATCAGTACAGAGAGCAACCAGCAGGGGTCACCATTGTTTTATCACTGTCTTCAACAGGGTATGACAAAACGTGTGCTACGGTGGAGACACTCACCAAAGTAGGGCTCATTGGGACAGCCCTTCAACCGCACTCCTTTCTGTGTACACTCAATCAGGAAGTGACGGACCAGCTCATTGGACAGATCTCCTCCAATCATAGAGCGAGAGAGAGAGAACGTTATTATACTCAAGAATGCTATAAATGCACATACATGCTTATAACACATTATAACGCATTATACCTGTTGGATGTAAGTTAAGTGTTAGCGGAGTCTCACTTATCTTACCCCTGTTAACTCCTATCCTGAATTCTAAGAGTTACATAAATCTTATCCAATCACAGCTGAGAATAGTGTTATTATGATTTAACATCAGTGTGTAGGTGGGGCATGAGGAGTGTGCATCTGAGGAATGTCCTCCCATAGAAAAGCCTTCTCCTGGAGCCGGCTTGGGTTTCAACCTCTTAACAAGTCACAATGCTCGGGCTGAAGGTGTGGAGAGGGACTGTGTCATGATGTCCCTACAAGTGCTAGCCTGCTGTGAGTGAAGGGGCTCCCAACACCGTGTGGAGGAGAGAGAAAGGGGTCAGGGCTTAGTGGGCAGTGCTCTGGGCTGGGCATAGGGACACCAGCGTCTTAGCGGAATCCTATCAGCACCCATTTTTCCCATCAGCACCCCTTTTATTTATTTCCCCGAATAAATAATGATAATAACTACGGGGGTGGGGGGGTGTTGGAGCAAGGTAGACAGCTTTAAGTTCCTCGGTGTTCAAATCACTAAAGGCTTAAAATGGTCCAAACACACACGCACAGTCGTGAAGAAGGCGCGACAGTGCCTCTTCCCCTTCAGGAGGTTGAACAAGTTTGGCATGGGCTCTCAAATCCTCAAAAGGTTCTACAGCTGTACCATTGAAAGCATATGGCAATTGCACCCCCCTCGATCGCATGGCGTTACTGAGGGTTGTGCGTACATCACTGGGGCCGAGCTCCCTGTCATCCAGGACCTCTATATCACGCGGTGTGAAAAGAAGGCCCGGAAAATCGGAAAAGATTCCAACCACCCAAGCAACAGACTATTTTCTCTGCTGCGGCAGGGCAAGAGGTACCAGTGCATCAAGTCTGACACCAACAGGCTCTTGAACAGCTTATATCCCCAAGCAATCAGACTGATAAATAGCTAACGAAATAGCTACACAGACAATCTGTTTTAACCTTGTATCTTTATTGACCTTTTATCTCAATATTTGCACTGTCTCTATGCACACTCACAGGGCCCTACATACACACTGTCACTCCAACACACAAACACTCACTCCATAATTTTCTCACTCACACATAATATGCACATACATTTATACTGACTCTACACACCCGCACACCAACTAACATACAAGCTGCTGCTACTCTGTTTATCTTATATCCTGTTGCCTAGTCACCTTACCCCTCTACATATTTATTTCCATCACTTCTGTATCCCTGCACATTGTAAATATGGTATTGGAACTGACTTTTTAAATATTCCCTATATATAGTATGCTTACTTACTTGTGTATTTCATATTGCATATTCTTATTTCTAGTGTTTAGTATTACATGGTTATTAATTATTGCATCGTTGGGTTTTGAGTTTACAAGAAAGGCATTTCACTGTACTTGTGCATGTGACATTACAACTTGAAACTTGAAACTTATACAGCCCTACCTCAACTACTCCAGTATCTCTGCACATTGTCAATTTGGTACTGGCACTGACCCTGTATATAGCTTACATTCTCCAGTTTTTTTCTTCCTTTCTTATTTCTCGTGTTTATGTTTAAGTTATACTATTTTGATATTGAATACTGCACTGTTGGGAAGGGCTTGCAAGTTAAGCATTTCACTGTACTTGTGCAAGTGACAAATAAATCTTGAAACAAGGCATGCCATGAACAAAGCAATATATTGCTTGCCAGGACATTTCTAAATTGAATTGAGGCCGTATTTCACGGTGCTTAATAAAACAATCTGTACTGTATGTCAAGCAAAGTTACAGTACAGTATGTAGGGCAAAAAGCATCCCTGGAGAAAGGCCTGAAATCTGTGCAGGTTTATAAAGCCTTCACATCTATTGTTTGTCTTGAAACACTAGCCGCCACATCTAAAACTACTTAGCAAAGAGCACGGCTGTTTAGTTCTATCACGATGCTGCCCGGAAGAGAGACCCAAAGCTAGGAGCTGTCGAACAAACAGAGAGGGAACTATCATGTTCACTCCATGGAGGTGAGTTCAGAGAGTTGTAACAGTAGAGGGCTTTTATAGCCGTTTGGTTCCCAGGATTCTGCCCCTCAGTCAGCCAATTCCGTGATAGCCCTGTTCTACTGGTGCCTTCTGGAACACGGAAAGGTTCTGGAACCGTGTGGAACCTGCCCGTAGGTACAGATCCAGGACCAGCTTATCCTCCAACAATTCTAACCATGACCATGGGTGAACACAAAATTTACCCTAGACAAGCATACACTCCCCTACGTATTTATTTGGACAGTGAAGCTAAAACTTTTAATTTACTCCAGCAATTTGGATATGAGATCAAATGTTTTATATGAGGCGACATTACAGTGTCATCTTTTTTATCTAGGGTATTTTCATACATATCTGTTTTACCGCACTTTATGTATCTAGTCCCCCCATTTGAAAGTGTCATAAGTATTTGGACAAATTCATTTATAGTGTATTACATTTAGTCAGAAGTTTAGCATTTGGTCCCATATTCCTAGCAGGCATAAATATCATATCCCCCAAAAATGCTAACCTCCCCTGTTATTGGTAATGGTGAAAGGTTAGCATGTTTTGGGGGCATGATCTTTGTGCATCTGTAACTTTCTCACTCATCATTATTCATGATTATGCGTAATAATGGTAGCATCCACATTAATGTAGAAGTGTTCAGAAACATTATATTCTTATTTACAATAAAAGTGACTTCAAAATGACACAATACATTATTTACCATTAATTTCTATTGGGCACAACATAATCCGAAACACAAGCAAAACAAACTGCAAATGCATTCAACAAGTTTGTAGAGTTACAAGCTTGATATTGTAGTTGCGTGCTTGGAATATGGGAATAAATACTAAAATGTTGACTAAATGTAATACACCATAAGTGAATTTGTCCAAACACTTATGAAGCCTTCAAATGGGGGGACTAGATACATAAAGTGCTTTCATTTCTAAACGGTAAAACAGATATGTATGAAAATACCCTCAAATAAAAGGCGACATTCTGTTCTGTCGCCTCATATAAAACATTTGATTTCAAATCCAAAATGCTTGAGTATAGAGCCAAATTAAAACTGTACAAATAAATACGTAGAGGAGTGTAGCGTATATGGGCTTCATCAATCATTATCCTAGTCCTATGTCCCACATCAAACAGGAACCGGTCTGAGTAACCTAAAGCTCCGCCCCCTTATCTCTCTCAGCCAAAGCCTACCTTTCTTGCTCTGCTGCAGGACTGAGGGAGGGGGTGTGGCCACCTTCATGGCCAGCCCATAGGCTCCTCTGAAGGAGTGGCTGTCCCGTACTATGAAACATCCAGGCTCATTGTCCTTCAGGACTGAGATAGCTGAAAGGGGGAGGAAAGAAGGAGGAAATGAGAAGAGAACGTCACAGGAAGACATTTTAATGACGGTGTCATGGAGGAGTGTGGAAACTGTCAAAATCTCCCAACACTGTCAAAATGTTGAAGAGCATTATGGAAATTTGGCAGACAAAATACACTTGGGAGACAGGACAAGTATTTCCTCATGTTTTTACCTTGGTCCCTGGAGATATCAGGCTTGTACCAGAATTTCGATGTGTCTTGCACAAAGTTTACAGTCACATGCTTGCTGGCCAGGACATCTGGAAATACAGTATCCGAAACACACCAGAGGTTAGCCAATGCAAAAAAAACTCAGGCATTCTATCACTGTAACCAAGTTCAAAAGACATCCATATGTGGCAAATCCAAATTTACAGAGAAAACTCACAGGGCAGCACCTAAAGAATACAGTACATAGAACAGAACTGATTACCTTCTTTACAGTATTGTACCAACCCAAGCCATTGGCTCAGATAAGAAGTGATTGGCTATTAACTGTGTAAGCTCGGGGGTTACCTGGCAGAGGTGAAGCGTTGCCCGGCATCTGTGCAGCGGCTGAGAGGTCAGGCAGGATGTTGGGAAATGGGATACTGAGGGAGCTCCCACTGTGTGGGCTGGAGAAGCCACTAGGGGCTGGGGAGGCTGTGCCCAAGGAGTGCTCCCCGTCCAACTCCCTCCTCTTCTCGGGCAGCAGTGGAGGCAAGGCCCCCTGGGCCTGGAGCTGCTGCAGCTGCTGGAGATGCTGCAGGTGCTGGGTCCGGATGGTGCCCTGCCCATCCATGGAACCCATCATGGACAGGCCCCTCTCCATCACTCCGTTCCCCAGGAGAGAAGAAGCAGAGGCTGGGCAGTCGGCGGCGCCATAGCCCCCTAGGCCTAAGTCGTCCGGCTCGTCGAAGCTGTGCGCGGGGCTGTGGGTGAGGCCATAGTGGGCCATGCGGCTCTGCTGGCTGCCCCTGGGGGAGCTGTGGGCAGCGTGAGGGTGGGAGTGCATGGGAGGGGAGTGGTGGCCGTAGTCCAAGGACATGGAGCGTGGAAGGGGGTGTCTGGGGGTGGGGCAGCTGCTGATGGAGGCGTGGTGGCTCAGGAGGGCTCTGTCCTCTGGCCAGGGCTGACCCATGGAGGGGCTGGAGAGAGGAGGAAGAACAAAAATGAGAAGATCATCAAAAACACCTCTCTAATGAAACTGTATGACCATTATGTATTTTCAGAACATGTAGCCTATAACCATAATTAGCGTCTGCTAAAATGTAAAATGTATATTCCAAGAAAGGACATTTCGAATAAACATGTGGCTTCTAATAATTATGCGAAAGGGTTGTATATGATTGGCTGTACCTGTCTGTCCGTTGGGGCGTCCCACTAATGAAGTCAGATCGAGAGGAGCCGAAGGACCTATGGCAGCTGGGGGAGGAGTCTGTCAGGCCCTGTTCTGCAGACTGGGGAACATGACCAATCATCTCTAAGTAACCTCTGGGCTCTGTGGGGTTGAGAGGGCATATATTACAAATTACACATATAGGATAAATACATTCAAGGGATAGAATGCACTAAACCTAAGTCTATTGACAGACACTCCAAAATAAATCCAATTTCATCCAGTTTCTCCAAAACATCTGGATATCACATGAACAGAAACTGAGCAGAAATGTTGCATCTGTTAACCATAACCTTAAGAATTTCAGTCAAATAAAAATGCTATCCCCTCAGGTGAGATATAATAGAGTACATCCAATAGCAAAGAGAGCAGTCAGCAGTGGAGTTAAATTATTCTCCAGTCAGTCAGTCAGTCTGCTGCTGGCTCAACAGTACAGCAGCCATCCATCGCTCTGTTCAGTATGGAGCAGATTACTCTGCCTAGCAGTGCCACTCTGTCAACAAATCAGCCTCACTCATTCAAAGACAGAAATTAAAAGCCCCCCGACATAATTGAGTAAATCTTTTATCACATTAATCATTGCTACGGAGGCACTGACAGGTGCTGCCCCCAAAACCACATGTTTCCAGTCCACATATTCCACACAGTTTAGTGACTGACTGATGTTTCCATGGGTTACCAGTTATCTCAATTGGAATGTGGAGGGCAAGGAAGACAAAGAGACGAGAGAGAGAGGTGGACTGGTATCTTTTTGTCCCTCGCCACTTTTATTGACACATAAGTACTTTCACTGAGGAAATAAAAAAAAATTGTGGGCCCCCCGATTTCTCGACCCGCTGTAACCATGGCACGGCTGAATCCTGTGAGGGGATCCAGTGGGGGAACAGATCAGTCTGGGGACGCTGTCACTCTCACAACCCCTCTGACACAGATCACTATGACAACAGGCTGGTTGGGGGTCAAAGGTGGACAAAGAAACAGACATAAAGGTAACCTCTAGGAGTGTCACTGTGTGTGTGTGAGTAACTCCAAACATCATCACTGCCATCCCTCACCAATGACCCACAGTCACGACAGGATGGTACAACTCTGCCAACTACTCAACTGAATTTGGAAAAAAATAACTCTTTATGACTGGTTTCAGAGGAAGGGAACCACAGAAGGGACTTATGCCATGTCTGATTATGTCTCTACTCTAAACTATTGTTTAAAGGGGCAATCAGCAGTTGAAACAATAACAAAGTGAAATCCCCGCCCCTGTTTCGGTAAAAAGCTAAGGGACAGGGCTGAAGAAATGTAACCACTCTCAAATTCATAGACAGAGCTATGGATGCAAGGACTGACCATCCATGATATCAAAATTATAGTTTTAACTATGTTTTGAGGCTGTACAGTGTTTGTTTACATTTACGTGGTTTACAAACATTGGAGTAAAGCAAGCTCATATTTTGGGTTCTGATGGGGTACGACAGTTGAACTATTAATGCTCATGAGGCATTTCTAAGTTATATTCTTCAATAATTCATCAGTATACAGTGAGGGAAAAAAGTATTTGATCCCCTGCTGATTTTGTACGTTTGCCCACTGACAAAGAAATGATCAGTCTATAATTTTAATGGTAAGTTTATTTGAACAGTGAGAGACAGAATAACAACAACAAAAATCCAGAAAAACGCATGTCAAAAATGTTATAAATTGATTTGCATTTTAATGAGGGAAATAAGTATTTGACCCCTCTGCAAAACGTGACTTAGTACTTGGTGGCAAAACCCTTGTTGGCAATCACAGAGGTCAGACGTTTCTTGTAGTTGGCCACCAGGTTTGCACACATCTCAGGAGGGATTTTGTCCCACTCCTCTTTGCAGATCTTCTCCAAGTCATTAAGGTTTCCAGGCTGACGTTTGGCAACTCGAACCTTCAGCTCCATCCACAGATTTTCTATGGGATTAAGGTCTGGAGACTGGCTAGGCCACTCCAGGACCTTAATGTGCTTGTTGATGCCAAAGAGCTCGATTTTGGTCTCATCTGACCACAACACTTTCACCCAGTTCTCCTCTGAATCATTCAGATGATCATTGGCAAACTTCAGACGGCCCTGTATATGTGCTTTTAGCAGGGGGACCTTGCGGGCGCTGCAGGATTTCAGTCCTTCACGGCATAGTGTGTTACCAATTGTTTTCTTGGTGACTATGGTCCAAGCTGCCTTGAGATCATTGACAAGATCCTCCCGTGTAGTTCTGGGCTGATTCCTCACCGTTCTCATGATCATTGCAACTCCACGAGGTGAGATCTTGCATGGAGCCCCAGGCCGAGGGAGATTGACAGTTTTTTTGTGTTTCTTCCATTTGTGAATATTCGCACCAACTGTTGTCACCTTCTCACCAAGCTGCTTGGCGATGGTCTTGTAGCCCATTCCAGCCTTGTGTAGGTCTACAATCTTGTCCCTGACATCCTTGGAGAACTCTTTGGTCTTGGCCATGGTGGAGAGTTTGGAATCTGATTGATTGATTGCTTCTGTGGACAGGTGTCTTTTATACAGGTAACACGCTGAGATTAGGAGCACTCCCTTTAAGAGTGTGCTCCTAATCTCAGCTTGTTACCTGTATAAAAGACACCTGGGAGCCAGAAATCTTTCTGATTGAAAGGGGGTCAAATACTTATTTCCCTCATTGAAATGCAAATCAATTTATAACATTTTTGACATGCGTTTTTCTGGATATTTTTGTTGTTATTCTGTCTCTCACTGTTCAAATAAACCTACGCTGTTTCTTGCCTTACTGCACACGCTGGGCGTCATTAACAAGTGATAATATATCATTCACAAGTGATAGGCTAATATTGTCACCCATCAGACTATTCTTAATTTAATGTTGTCTTTACATCAACCAAATAACATATGTGTGAAATTAGTTTTGATTTAAAATTGACCATTATCATGCACCTGTCTCGGAACAGGGGCGTGGGGAAAAAAAAATACATGTCATCTATGCACTTAAATAGCGGATGACAGACGCCTTTCCCGTTGTTCATTTTCATGCCAGCCAGGTAGGCTATAATCCTGTTTTAAAGCAAAGCAATGTCCTTAATATTAGGAAAGTAAAGTTGATAAATAAATGTAGTAGGCCTAGCCAATAGAAAGCTGATGGGATCCTCTTTTTAATAGAGGCAATCAAAACTCTGTTAACTCATTCAATTGCATAGCCTATAGAAATGTTGTGCACCATGAGCTCATGGGCTCTAATAAAGTGTTTGATTAGATTTTCGAAAACATTTGCATTGATGTCAGAGTGATTAGAGGGACAATAGAGTGCTGAGTACTGGCAGTTATCAAGTTTGGCAGGCTACTAATGGCCATCAGCAGCATCATAGCTTGCAGAAGCCTAGCTAACATGACTAAACAGTCACGTGGAATTTGACTGTGGTCATGACTCGGGAGGTAATATGGTCACCTTAACAGCCCTAGTCATAATTACTGTGTAAGTCTGTGGAACGGGGTAAGAACCATGTACAGTGAGGGAAAAAGTATTTGATCCCCTGCTGATTTTGTACGTTTGCCCACTGACAAAGACATGATCAGCCTATAATTTTAATGGTAGGTTTATTTGAACAGAATAAAAACAAAAAAATCCAGAAAAACGCATGTCAAAAATGTTATAAAATGATTTGCATTTTAAAGATTTCTGGCTCCCAGGTGTCTTTTATACAGGTAACGAGCTGAGATTAGGAGCACACTCTTAAAGGGAGTGCTCCTAATCTCAGCTTGTTACCTGTATAAAAGACACCTGTCCACAGAAGCAATCAATCAGATTCCAAACTCTCCACCATGGCCAAGACTGTTGGTGCGATTATTCGCAAATGGAAGAAACACAAAAGAACTGTCAATCTCCCTCGGCCTGGGGCTCCATGCAAGATCTCACCTCGTGGAGTTGCAATGATCATGAGAACGGTGAGGAATCAGCCCAGAACTACATGGGAGGATCTTGTCAATGATCTCAAGGTAGCTGGGACCATAGTCACCAAGAAAACAATTGGTAACACACTACGCCGTGAAGGACTGAAATCCTGCAGCACCCGCAAGGTCCCCCTGCTCAAGAAAGCACATATACAGGCCCGTCTGAAGTTTGCCAATGAACATCTGAATGATTCAGAGGAGAACTGGGTGAAAGTGTTGTGGTCAGATGAGACCAAAATCGAGCTCTTTGGCATCAACTCAACTCGCCGTGTTTGGAGGAGGAGGAATGCTGCCTATGACCCCAAGAACACCATCCCCACCGTCAAACATGGAGGTGGAAACATTATGCTTTGGGGGTGTTTTTCTGCTAAGGGGACAGGACAACTTCACCACATCAAAGGGACGATGGACGGGGCCATGTACCGTCAAATCTTGGGTGAGAACCTCCTGCCCTCAGCCAGGGCATTGAAAATGGGTTGTGGATGGGTATTCCAGCATGACAATGACCCAAAACACACGGCCAAGGCAACAAAGGAGTGGCTCAAGAAGAAGCACATTATGTTCCTGGAGTGGCCTAGCCAGTCTCCAGACCTTAATCCCATAGAAAATCTGTGGAGGGAGCTGAAGGTTCGAGTTGCCAAACGTCAGCCTCGAAACCTTAATGACTTGGAGAAGATCTGCAAAGAGGAGTGGGACAAAATCCCTCCTGAGATGTGTGCAAACCTGATGGCCAACTACAAGAAACGTCTGACCTCTGTGATTGCCAACAAGGGTTTTGCCACCAAGTACTAAATCATGTTTTGCAGAGGGGTCAAATACTTATTTCCCTCATTAAAATGCAAATAAATTTATAACATTTTTGACATGCGTTTTTCTGGATTATTTTGTTGTTATTCTGTCTCTCACTGTTCAAATAAACCTACCATTAAAATTATAGACTGATCATGTCTTTGTCAGTGGGCAAACGTACAAAATCAGCAGGGGATCAAATACTTTTTTCCCCCTCACTGTATTGAAGTCAATGTACCCAGAGGAGGACAGAACCTAGCTGTTCTCCGGCTACACAATGGTGATACCCTACAGAGTGCTGCTGAGGCTACTGTATTGCAAAACAGTGTGTTTTAATCAATTATTTGGGGATGTGAATATATTTATTATAGTTTTATTTAAAAAGAACTTAATAATTTTAATGAAATTCACTGCGAAGGATGGTCCTCCCCTTTCTCCTCTGAGGAGCCTCCACTGATACAGATGAAGGATCTTAATTTGAGCATCCTGTTGCAGGAGAACTTTCCTGCAATGCAGGACATTTTACATTTGTATTGTATTTTAGGTTTAAAAAGGCTTCTGAAGTTCGTAATTTCCACTTTGAAATTTCAGACTTGAAATGTATCAACCCCAATAAAAATGTCCACTCATTATAATCAACATAATAATTCACATTTCCTGTTGCTGCAGGATTATTTTCCTGCTGTAGCAAACTGACTCACATTAAGATCCTACATATGTATAACTGGGTGTGTTCCACCAATGAGAAACATCTAAGACCACAACAAAACTTTTACAGACAAACAAAAAATAGAACTGTTTCAGGCACTGAAGGCTTTGACACAATGTGCTATAAAATACTAACTTTTCAGGACTGAAACCACACAGACGTTCTCCAAACCAACCATGGGAGGAGAGAGACTTGTATGGAACCCCCAGGGAAGGGAGGCAGTCCCTGGCTTTGTTTAGTGCACTGCCTCAAACAAACACAATGCTCTCAACTACAGGTCAGGGATCATTCATTAGTTATGGAATGTGACCAGTAATGGTGCAATACCACAGGGAAAACAACTGCATAAAGACAAATAACTAGATATAAACACATAAACATCATGTACACCTTACAGGGCTATGGTCGGTTACATTCCGAGAGAAGTTCTCATGATGGAGACAGTCTCAGAGGAGGAGTCAAAAGCAGTTGATGAACAATGAACAAACCCAAAGGTCCCATCCCTGTTCATACCCATGTATTGTCTGTCACTGGGTCCCTCTTTGTCTCCTAGAGCTATTTCTCTCACTCACTCTCTTTTTCTGTCAGCCACTTTCTGTCTTTAATTAAGTGACAGATTAAGTAAAGAGAAAGAGAGGGCTGAGAGGGATAATGAGTGGAATAGACTCCATCACTTCCAATGTCTCCACTTCCCTACATAGAACACTTATCCATTGTTCCACTGCCCCGCGGCCTGGCTCCTTCAATCAATTGGCTTTGTCAAAGGTCAAGTGCCACATTATTTATTCACCTCACAATGGCCTGACATTTCAATATATCTATTCACTTTATTTCTTTTATTTTTATTTTATTTCACCTTTATTTAACCAGGTAAGCCAGTTGAGAACAAGTTCTCATTTACAACTGCGACCTGGCCAAGATAAAGCAAAGCAGTGCGATAAAAACAACAACACAGAGTTACATATGGAGTAAACAAAACATAAAGTCAAAAATACAACAGAAAATATATATACAGTGTGTGCGAATGTAGTAAAATATGGAGGTAAGGCAATAAATAGACCATAGTGCAAAATAGTTACAATTTCGTATTAACACTGGAATGATAGATGTGCAAAAGATGATGTGCAAATAGAGATACTGGTGTGCAAATTTGCAAAATAAATAACAATATGGGGATGAGGTAGTTGGATGGGCTAATTTCAGATGGGCTGTGTACAGGTGCAGTGGTCGGTAAGCTGCTCTGACAACTGATGCTTAAAGTTAGTGAGGGAGATAAGAGTCTCCAGCTTCAGAGATTTTTGCAGTTCGTTCCAGTCATTGGCAGCAGAGAACTGGAAGGAATGGCGGCCAAAGGAGGTGTTGGCTTTGGGGATGACCAGTGAGATATACCTGCTGGAGCGCAGACTACGGGTGGGTGTTGCTATGGTGACCAGTGAGCTAAGATAAGACGGGGATTTGCCTAGCAGTGATTTATAGGCTTTGGTGACAAAACGGATGGCACTGTGATAGACTACATCCAATTTGCTGAGTAGAGTGTTGGAGGCTATTTTGTAAATGACATCGCCGAAGTCAAGGATCGATAGGATAGTCAGTTTTACGAGGGCATGTTTGGCAGCATGAGTGAAGGAGGCTATGTTGCGAAATAGGAAGCCGATTCTAGATCTAACTTTTGATTGGAGATGCTTAATGTGAGTCTGGAAGGAGAGTTTACAGTCTAACCAGACACCTAGGTATTTGTAGTTGTCCACATACTCTAGGTCAGACCCGCCGAGAGTAGTGATGCTACTCGGGTGGGCGGGTGCAAGCAGCGTTCGGTTGAAGAGCATGCATTTAGTTTTACTAGTGTTTAAGAGCAGTTGGAGGCTACGGAAGGAGTGTTGTATGGCGTTGAAGCTCGTTTGGAGGTTTGTTAACACAGTGTCCAATGAAGGGCCAGATGTATACATAGAGGTGGATCCGAGCCTCACCAGCAGCAAGAGCAACATCATTGATATACACAGATAATTGAACCATGTGGCACCCCCATAGAGACTGCCATAGGTCCAGACAACAGGCCCTCCGATTTGACACATTGAACTCTATCTGAGAAGTAGTTGGTGAACCAGGCGAGGCAGTCATTTGAGAAACCAAGGCTATTTAGTCTGCCAATAAGAATGCGGTGGTTGACAGAGTCGAAAGCCTTGGCCAGGTCGATGAAGACGGCTGCGCAGTACTGTCTTTTATCGATCGCGGTTATAATATTGTTTAGGACCTTGAGTGTGGCTGAGGTGCACCCATGACCAGCTCGGAAACCGGATTGCATAGCGGAGAAGGTACGGTGGGATTCGAAATGGTTGGTGATCTGTTTGTTAACTTGGCTTTCAAAAACTTTCGAAAGGCAGGGCAGGATGGATATAGGTCTGTAACAGTTTGGATCTAGAGTGTCAACCCTTTGAAGAGGGGGATGACCACGGCAGCTTTCCAATCTCTGGGGATCTCAGACGTTACGAAAGAGAGGTTGAACAGGCTAGTAATAGAGGTTGCGACAATTTCAGCGGCTAATTTTAGAAAGAAAGGGTCCAGATTGTCTAGCCCAGCTGATTTGTAGGGGTCCAGAATTTTCAGCTCTTTCAGAACATCAGCTGTCTGAATTTGTGTGAAAGAGAAGCGGGGGGGGCATGGGCAAGTTGCAGCAGAGGGTGCAGAGGTGGTGGCCGGGGTAGTGGTAGCCAGGTGGAAAGCATGGCCAGCCGTAGCAAAATGCTTGTTGAAATTCTCGATTATTGTAGATTTATCGATGGTGATAGTGTTTCATAGCCTCAGTGCAGTGGGCAGTTGGGAGGAGGTGCTCTTATTCTCCATGGACTTTACAGTGTCCCAAAACTTTTTGGAGTTAGTGCTACAGGATGCAAATTTCTGTTTGAAAAAGCTAGCCTTTGCTTTCCTAACTGATTGTGGATATTGGTTCCTGACTTCCCTGAAAAGTTGCATATCGCGGGGGCTGTTCGATGCTAATGCGGTATGCCACAGGATGTTTTTGTGCTGGTCAAGGGCAGTCAAGTCTGAGGAGAACCAGGGGCTATATCTGTTCTTAGTGGGGCATGCTTATTTAAGATTGAGAGGAAAGCACTTTTAAAGAACAACCAATTTAGAGACTAGTGGTATTTCTATGAATTGTTCTGTACTCTAAAAATAAAAGTATATTTTGAGTAACCGCTGTAATCCATTGTGTTAAAGAATATATTTTAACATTTATCACACTTCATCTGAATGAAGAATGAATGAATTAGAATGTCAGAGTGCTGTGATACACAAAGCTTAGAGCCTACATTCTCCACAAGTAAAGTACACATTGCCACAATGTCCTACCATGCTCCGTCCTGTAAACCCCGTAGGATTGCATGCTGGGAGATGGAGTTTGCCTCAGGTGAGTGAATTCCGCCATGTTTTTCACTATGGAAGCATAGAAGAAGAGATGAGGTTTAAAAATCCGGTAATTCAGCAACGATCACGAGAGCCATCATACAGTGCCTTCGGAAAGTATTCAGACCCCTTGACTTTTTCCATATTTTGTTATGTTACAGCCTTACTCTAAAATGGATTACATAAAAACATTTCCTCAGCAATCTACACACAATACCCCATAATGACAAAGCGAAAACAGGTTTTTAGACATTTTTAGAAATGGATTAAAACAAAAAACAGAAATACCTTATTTACATAAGTGTTCAGACCCTTTGCTATGAGACTCAAAACTGAGCTCAGTTGCATCCTGTTTCAATTGATCATCCTTGATATGTTTCTACAACTTGATTGGAGTCCACCTGTGGTAAATTCAATTGATTGGACATGATTTGGAAAGGCACACACCCGTTTATATAAGGTCCCACAGTTGACAGGGCATGTCAGAGCAAAACCCAAGCCATGAGGTCAAAGGAATTGTCCTGTCAAGGCACAGATCTGGGGAAGTGTACCAAAAAATGTCTGCAGCATTGAAGGTCCCCAAGAACACAGTGGCCTGCATCATTATTAAATGGAAGAACTTTGGAACCACCAAGACTCTTCCTAGAGCTGGCCACCCGGCCAAATTGAGCAATCAGGGGAGGAGGGCCTTGGTCAGGGAGGTGACCATGAACCCAATGGTCACTCTGACAGAGCTCTAGAGTTCCTCTGTGGAGATGGGAAAACCTTCCAGAAGGCAACCATCTCTGAACCAATCCACCAATCAGGCCTTTATGGTAGAGTGGCCAGAAGGAAGCCATTCCTCAGTAAAAGGCACATGAAAGCCTGCTTGGAGTTTGCCAAAAGGTACCTAAAGACTCTCAGACCATGAGAAACAAGATTCTCTGGTTTGGTAAAACCAAGATTAAACTCTTTGGCCTGAATGCCAAGCGTCACGTCTGGAGAAAACCTGGCACCATCCCTATGGTGAAGCATGGTGGTGGCAGCATCATGCTGTGGGGATGTTTTTCAGTGGCAGGGTCTGGGAGACTAGTCAGGATCGAGGCAAAGATGAACGGAGCAAAGTACAGAGAGATCCTTGATGAAAACCTGCTCCAGAGTGCTCAGGACCTCAGACTGGGGCGAAGGTTCACCTTCCAACAGGGCAACAACCCTAAGCACACAGGCAAGACAATGCAGGAGTTATTTGGGACAAGTCTCTGAATGTCCTTGACTGGACCCAGCCAGAGCCCGGACTTGAACCCGATCAAACATTTCTGGAGAGACCTGAAAATAGCTGTGCAGCAACGCTCCCCATCTGACAGAGCATGAGAGGAGGATCTGCAGAGAAGAATGGGAGAAACACCCCAAATACAGGTGTGCCATGCTTGTAGCGTCATACCCAAGAAGACTCAAGGCTGTAATCGCTGCCAAAGGTGCTTCAACCAAGTACTGAGTAAAGGGTCAGAATACTTATGTAAATGTATTATTTCCATTTTATTTTTTATTAGCAGAAATTTCTAAAAACCTGTTTTTGCTTTGTCATTATGGGGTATTGTGTGTAGATTGATGAGGGGGAATAAGGCTGTAACCTAACAAAATGTGGAAAAAGTCAACGGATCTGAATACCTTCCAAAGGCACTGTATGCATACACACACACACAAACCCCTGGAAAAAGACACTAGACAATAATGGAGGCTTTTACCATAAGGTGTAGGGGGAGAGATAGGGAAGGCAGGAGTAGGAGTCATGTCACTACCAGCCTCCACTCCACTGTCCATCTCTGGACCCTGAGCTCTGTAGTCAACACTGTCGCTCCTGTACAGCATGCCATGCTGTAATACAAACACACAGATGGAAATACAACACACAGCACAAACATGCGTGTGAACATCACCACATTGTACTCAGCAAAAACACAGCACGAACACACACATTATAGTGCACATCATGACAAGTAAGATAATGACAAGGTATTGACAGACATTGGGAGTCAGTGAGTCAGGGTTTCAGTATGTTCCTGTACCTGTGAGTGAGGTACGCAGGGTGAGTAGGTCTGTGTGCTCTTGTACTCCTCCTGCACACCCCAACCTGAGCCACAGAACCCTGGGTGATCTGTGACATCACTGCCCTGCCGACTCAGACTCCGCATGGCGTCCACTCTGACATCACCAACGGACAATGGGGCAGCTGCACAGACACACAAACACAGAGACGGAGAGGAGGGTGAGAACTGGCCGTTCATGTTGAACATACCAGAAAGCTCTACCACCACAAATCTATAGGAAATACACGCTTCTGAAGAATGTCAACCCGTTAAGCCATGTTAGTGACATGCAATGTGTGAAGAAATATCATACCAAAGACTTCTGGCTCTAACTTCTTGACTACACTATCTAGTAGGAGTTATTATACCTCTCCAATAACTTCAACTGGGATACTATTGAGCTTAGTACTAGTGTCTGTGTCGTTGTGTGTGGACAGGTGAAGAATGCAGCAGGGGCTGAGAGGGATGAGAAATGGGGGGTTAGAATTGTGACAGACTGGCCTGGGGTGACCCTCCACTCGGCACCAGGGTGCTAATTTAAGGCCTCCCAGCCGTCCTATAGCCCTGAAGAATGTTAATGTAGAGAGGTGCTAATGCACAGGATGATGATGATTACACACACATTCTCAGAGGGCATAGCCGGAGGTATGAGTGTGTGTTTGTGTGTGTGTGTGTGTGTGTGTAAGTTGTTGTGACTGTCATGTTGTGTTATTTTTGACTTCATTAGTGTCTTTTTCTCTGTCAGCATCTTTTCCTTTTGAGTGTGTGTCTGTTTTTTTCAAAACCATTATGTTTCAGTCTGGCTAGGCATGCTTGTGCCTTTGTACATTTACATTTACATTATAGTCATTTAAAGATGAAGGATCTTAATTTGATCACTCTATTGATGCTGAGAATGTTTATGCAAAGCAGTACACGCAAACTTGTAGTGTATTTGAGTTTGAAAAAGGTTTCTAAACTTTGTAATTTCCACTTTGACATTTCAGACGTGATTTACCCTAACGAAAAATGTTATCAAATCCTACAAAAATGTCCATTGATTTTAATGCACATAATAATTCACGTTTCCTGTTGCGACTTACAATTAGTGCATTCATCTTAAGATGTATATACATATCACAGTCGTAGTAAGTACATTTTCCCTCAATAAAGTAGTTATCAGACAGGTCAGTGCTAGTAGGAAAATACTTATTATTATTATTATTATTATTATTATTATTATTATTATTATTATAAAAGACAAGTGCAAGCAGTTTATTTTTTATGGGGGAGGGTCTTATTTAAGATACTTTGAAGAGGTAGCGTTTCAGACCTTTTCAGAAGATGGACAGGGACACTATCTTGACGTTAGGGGGACCTTGTTCCACCATTGGGGTGCCAAGACAGAGAAGAGCTTTGACTGGGCTGAGCAGAAGATGACCCCTGTAGGGGTGGGAGGGCCAAGAGACCATAGGTGACATAACGGAGTGCTCGGATGTGCGTGTAGGGTTTGAGCATAGCCTGGAGGTAAGGAGGGGCAGTTCTCCATGCAGCGCCATAGGCAAGTACCATGGTCTTGAAGTGGATACGAGCTTTGACTAAAAGTTTGTCTCTGTTGTGGGTGGGTTTGTAGCCTAAAATGTGTAAGGAGGCATCATGGGGATTTGAGCTCATTGAAGAGGATCTGAATGAATGGCCATCTAATTACCATGTGATAGACAAACACTGCAATGACTCTCACTATCACTTCTCTAACTCCCGATCTCAGGTGGGATCTCTTCATTGTCCTTTAGCTTGTAAACACAGTCATTTTTGGGATGTTGCTATCTTTTTCTGTTTTTGGGAGACCTCACTTTGTAGATATATAATATATTCCAAGGATAATATCATGATTTGGGTTAAGGTTATGTTAGTCACTCAGCAAACATAAGTACGACAGTACTTAGCCTATTTCCATGAAGGAAAGGAGACACTACACAACCCGGTAGCCTGACAAAACTTATAAATTAGTACCTTTACCTTGTGTACTTATGTGTACAGTCACATGATGAATTGTCCCTAAACCACAAAGGAATTCCCTTTCCACTGTAAGTCACATGAATCACACTTGAGCTTCAACAACTCACCTGTACACAATGTTCACCTTACGGAGTCACACCTGAACCTGAATCATTATTCATCTATACATTGACACAGACGTTGAAACTAACTCAAGTGCCTTCAGAAAGTTTTCATACTGGGGCGGCGCACAATTGGCCCAGCGTCGTCCAGGGTAGGGGAGGGAATGGCCGGCAGGGATGTAGCTCAGTTGGTAGAGCATGGCGTTTGCAACGCCAGGGTTGTGGGTTCGATTCCCACGGGGGGCCAGTATGATTTGTATTTTTTTTTTTTTTTTTTTTTTTTTTTTTTTTTTATGCACTCACTTAACTGTACGTCGCTCTGGATAAGAGCGTCTGCTAAATGACTAAAATGTAAATGTAAAATACCCCTTGACTTATTCCACATTTTGTTGTTTTACAGCCTGAATTCAAAATGGATTAAATTGTTTTTTTATTCTCACCCATCTACACCCATGGAAACCTGTATTACATTTTTTTTGTGCAAATGTATTGAAAATGAAATACAGAAATATCTCATTTACATAAGTATTCACACTCCTCAGTCAATACATGTTAAAATCACCTTTGGCAGCAATTACAGCTGTGAGTCTTTCTGCTTGGCATTCACTCAATTTATTGAGTCCACTGGTCCCAGTCACACAGACCTACCCTACGCCTTGACCTCTTTCTCCCCTCTCTCTCCAGATGAAATCCTGCGACAAGTGAGGTCCGGCCGCCCAACAACTTGCCCGCTCGACCCCATCTCCTACTCCAGACCATCTCTGGAGACCTTCTGCCATTCCTCACTTCTCACATCAACTCATCCCTGACCACTGGCTGTGTCCCCTCTGACTTCAAAATGTCCTGAATCGCTATCCTCCTAAAGAAACCAACACTCGACTCCTCTGACGTCAAAAACTACAGACCAGTATCCCTTCTTTCTTTTCTTTCTTAAACACTTGAGCGTGGTGTCTCTGACCATCTCTCTCCCTATCTCTCTCAGAACGACCTTCTTGACCTAAACAGTCAGGCATAAAGACGGGTCACTCAACCGAGACTGCTCTTCTCTGCGTCACGGAGGCTCTCCGCACTGCCAAAGTTGACTCTCTCCTCAATTCTCATCCTCCTAGATCCATCCGCTGCCTTCGACACTGTGAACCATCAGATCCTCCTCTCCACCCTCTCAGGGCTGGGTGTCTCAGGCTCTGCACGCTCTTGGATCCTACCTGGCAGGCCCCTCCTACCAGGTATCGTGGAGACGATCTGTGTCTGCACCACGTACTCTCACGACTGGCGTCCCCCAGGGCTCGGTTCTAGGCCCTCTCCTCTTCTCTCTATACACCAAGTCACTCGGCTCCATCATATCCTCACATGGTCTCTTCTATCATTGCTATGCAGATGACACTCAACTACTTTTCTCATTCCCCCCTTTTGACACCCAGGTGGCGTCATGCATCTCTGTGTGCTAGGCAGATATCTCAGCTTGGATTTCGGCCCACCACCTCAAGCTCAACCTCAACAAGACGGAGCTGCTTTTCCTCCCAGGGAAGGCCTGCCACGCTCAAAGACCTCTCCATCATGGTTGACAACTCCATGGTGTCCTCCTCCCAGAGTTCAAAGATCCTTGGCGTGACCCTGAACAACACCCTGTCGTTCTCTGCAAACATCAAGCAGTGACTGCAGGTTCATGCTCTACAACATCCGTGGTGTATAACCCTACCTCACACAGGAAGCAGCCTGGTGTTCAACCTTCCCAAGTTTTCCCATGTCACCCCGCTCCTCCGTACGCTTCCAGTCGATGCTCACATTCCACAACAAGACCATGGTACTTGCCTACGGAGCAGCAAGAGGAACTGCCCCTCCCTACCTTCAGGCTATGCTGACTGGTGACACAACGCACTTCCGCGTTGTCTCCGTACTGCTGTACTGTTTGTTGCTACTTGGCTAGCTGCCTACTCTTAATAACTATTTAATCAAGTTTACCAAGGTCTTAGTTTTGTCCTCAAAACGTATTTAATTCAACTTTTTCACCATGGATGCTTTATCTGGACATAGATCTGAGGGACCTCCTCTGGCCGAAAAAAAAGCTAAGTAACATTATGCCTTCTCATTGCAGTCGCTGTACTCTTAATATACAGGATAACTACAGTGGCTTGCGAAAGTATTCACCCACCTTGGCATTTTTCCTATTTTGTTGCCTTACAACCTGGAATTAAAATTGATTTTTGGGGGGTTTGTATCATTTGATTTACACAACATGCCTACCACTTTGAAACAAAATATTTTATATTGTGAAACAAACAAGAAATAAGACATAAAAACAGAAAACTTGATTGTGCATAACTATTCACCCCCCCAAAAGTCTATACTTTGTAGAGCCACCTTTTTCAGCAATTACAGCTGCAAGTCTCTTGGGGTATGTCTCTATAAGCTTGGCACATATAGCCACTGGGATTTTCGCCCATTGTTCAAGGCAAAACTGCTCCAGCTCATTCAAGTTGGATGGGTTCCGCTGGTGTACAGCAATCTTTAAGTCATACCACAGATTCTCAATTGGATTGAGGTCTGGGCTTTGACTAGGCCATTCCAAGACATTTAAATGTTTCCCCTTAAACCACTCGAGTGTTGCTTTAGCAGTATGCTGTCACGATCGTCGTAGGAGTGAGTAGACCAAGGCGCAGCGTGTGAAACAAACATGACTTTAATTAGTTAAAGTATCCAAATTACAAAACAAGAAACGACTCGTGAAGTCCACGGTGACAAAATACCGAACACGGAACAAAAACCCACAACACCCAAGGGAAAACATACAGTTTAAATATGGCTCCCAATCAGAGACAACCAGCCGACAGCTGACACTCGTTGCCTCTGATTGGGAGTCACACAGGCAAACATAGACACAGACAACCTAGAACACCCAAACAAAGAAACAGAACACATCGAATGAACACACCCTGGCTCAACATATAGAGTCCCAGAGCCAGGGTGTGACAGTACCCCCCCCTAAAGGCGCGGACTGCGACCGCGCCTCAACTAAAGCAAAACAGGGGAGGGCTGGGCGGGCATACCTCCTCGGCGGCGGTTCTGCCTCCGGCCTTGACCACCACCCTCCAATGAACC